CCCCCCCCCCCCCCGACGCACCCCGCGAAACGGATATCTAGTGGTGAGGAGCGAGGAGAGACGCGGCTGTTTTCGCAGGCTAATCCATCTGCAGCCCTAGGACCCCAACTGGAGCTGAAGCGTAAGTCAATGCGAGAACTTTCGGCATAATTCTGCGAGTGCTCGAGGAGAAAGGTGAGTTTGAGATGGAATGGAGAAATCGCGAAGCAGGCGGTGTGCTTCTATCTTGTTCATGGAGCCTTTGTCAACGATATCTGTTCAGTCTTCTGAAGAAATGGAAGACAAGACAAATTTTCAAATATATTAACTGCATAACCATCCCGGGCCTTTCCTTTGTCAACAAGCTCATACTTGGGAGTTGCCTTAAGAGGCAACGTCCTCCCTACTTCTCGCATAATTGAAACAAGGTCCAATGTCTTCCATCGCTTGTTCAGCAGCTTCATTATTGTGGCTAAAGTAAGTGCTCTTTTAGTGTACCCAAACAAGACTTCACAGGTTTCTGGGGGAATTTCTTCATCATTCTCTGGAGGCCAGGCATTAGTTACCACGAGCATCGTGTTAGAAATGCGTGCCAATTTCGTCCTCAAACATTCTGTTATTGTCTCCACAAGCACACTTCGAGATTTATTAACCACAAAGAGCACAACAAGAAGGGTCGATTTCTTACCTGGAAAGAGGAAAAAAGATGAACGATGAACCTTTCTTCTCAGAAACTATTACTAATAAAAACACCTTGATTGAATTATTTCATAGTTGACTGTACTGATGACACAAGTGAGATTGTGTGAACCTGTTCACAGAAGCGTATCTGCGTTTTTTTGTGTCCAACTCATTTAACAGCAAGTTTTATCTGGACTTCTTTCCTTTTTCGTTTGAAATTACAGTATAAAGTATGCGATGCCACTAACGCTTCAAAACTGGAAAGCTGATCCGTCACAGTGTCAAAACCAGTCGTTCTGTTCTGATGTGAAGTAATACCTAAATGAAACCCGGCTTTACCGATGAATCGGTGCAATTTTAGTAAATATGTTTGGAAAAAATATGGTGGTGGCAGGGAAATGAGTGATATCAAAGAAATGATATGAAAATGGAATGATTTCAACTCTTTGGTGTTTGCTTTCATCGAACATAAAGTAGCGCTCCTCTCTTATTTCGGCTATGATAAGCTATAGCCTACATCTTCAACAGACATTGATCATGCACCCCTCTGTAACAGACCCAGTAGAATCTAGCAGAATCAATATGTTCACCGGGTTCTTGGAGAAAACGTCACCGGGTTGCTGGCTTATTTTCCACTGGGGGTTTTTCTTAGTTGTGTACCTCCCGGCATAACTAAAAGCTAAAAGGTCTAAAACGGTTGGCAGACCTTGCACCTTTACCGTTATGAAACTTTTAAAACCTTTTACGTATTGCTCTAGCGAGAGCAATTAATTAAAAAGGTTTAACCTTTTTTATGCGAGATCGGGATTACCTGTCAAATGGTAATAATGTTTTATATTTTGGCTTCTCACTCTTAACCCTTTAAGCCCTAAGAGTGACCAGGATCAAATTTCTCCTCGTAATATCAATGCTTTATAAAACAGAGTGGTCATGAGAATTGCGGACATGATCACAGAAGATGAATTTGCTTGATATTTTATCAACTTCTCCCCACTACTTCTGTAGGAATTGAATAAGGGCAACAAATGAGAGTTCAAATTTTGATCTTAGGGTTTAAAGGGTTAAACAAATATGAATCACGAAGGATCGTCAGGAGAAGAGAAAGTGACCGGGAAGCAAAAAATCAGGCGGGTAGAAACAAGCTATTCGCCAGGTATTGGGGAGGCTAAATTATCCCTGAGTAGGCTGAATTAAACCACGGGTAGGGCCTCACTGGATCTGTTACAGGGGGTGCCGACTGTCGTTGATAAACTTAAACTTAACCTGAAGACTGAGGGTTATACGATAACTGTCAATTGTTACACTTTCAACTTTCAAACAACCTTCATCATTTCCATAGCAAATCCACTGGTCCATGATGGATGAGACCCTCATTTGGCAATTTTCTTTCTCCTCCTGTATTTCTTCCTCCTTCACTTGTATGTCCTTTTCGATTTGAGCTTTCTCTTTCGTCCACAGCTCTGTTTCTTCTTTCGTCTTCTGTATAAGACCTGTCATATCCTGCAGCTCTTTGTAAAACACTTTCATCAGTTGCTCATCGGTGTTAGGGACAAGTTCTTCTATATCGAAGCTTCCTTCTTGTTTACTATACCAACTTAGTGGTAACTGATTTTTTAAAAGTTCTTTCAGCGTTCGTTCCTTGCCCTTTGCGCTTGAAATATTGTTTTCCTTCGTCTTCTTCCTCTTCTTAAGCTCCCTTAGATCATCAACCATTTTTTCGGGAGCCTTTGTTGTCAACGTGGTAACTTGGCTTTGTAAATCGGTAAAAAAAGAGCCGACTCTTTTAACATTGTCATATACAGTAGCATTATCTGTGCAGTCGATAATCAAAACTTCTGCTTTGCTGTAAACCTTTGCAGGGCGATCGTTATTTACTAGCGTCTCTGTCATTTCTTCTAAAGGAAGAACAGGACGAAGTGTTCGTTTTTTTACCTTCTCCAGCAACTCTGCGAGGTCATAAAGCTGCAGCTTCTCAAAAACGTCTTTTAACACCTTGACTGGGGTGTCGGGAAAGTATTCGCTAAGATTTCCCAACCTATCAGGGTGCATTTTTTTCGGATTAAGTCCGAATGATCGATGAAATCGCCGTAAAGCAATTGGGTCGATAAGCAGTCTGTATCCAAGTTCTGTAGTCACTGTTTTACTTAGATCTTTTAAGCACAGTTGAGGAATTGAATCTGGAAGAAAGAAAAAAGGGAAAGTGAATGAAACTCATTACTTAGACCCGGTTCAAACGTCGAACTTTACATGTGCCGAACCTAATTATTAGGTTCGGCACATGTCAAGTTCGACGTATGTTCAGTTAGGAACGGCACTTTTGTATTTTGCCGTTCTTTTCGACTGATCAGCTTGTCGAATAGAGCGGCAAAAGATCGACTTCGATTCATATGTGCCGAACTTAATTTATAAATTATGTTAACTTATTTTTTAACACAACCGCGCTTCTGATTGGCTACTAGTGGGTTTTTGCGCCGGTGCGGACAGAAATCAAAGAAGCGTAACGACTTTACCAGCATTCTCGTTGACGATTTTTAGACTGAAACTGAACAGCTTTAGACGGTCTTCTAAAAAGTTTATTTTCTTTATATCCATAAAGAAATCGTACTGAATTTTAAAATTTATGGCGTTACTTCATTTTGTCCAAATCTCAATATGATCACGATCTTCTTGCCATAACAGAACACAAATCACACTAAAACCAAAACATGCTTTTCAAGCTTGGTGAATTTTACTTTTTTTAGTTTATTCCCCTATTTTAAGCACTAAGGATGATGTTTGTTTTCGCTACGAATTCGGTTCGGCACATGTAAAGTTCGACGCTTGAACCGGGGCTTACTCACGCACTTAATAACTAGCAACATGACCGTGCAGTTGTTGCATAGCTAGTTATCCTATACGATAACGTTTTATCACATCAGGTGTATCTTACCGATGCTGGTTCCTTCCAATCGCGGTGCAGGAGGTGAAGGTTGAGCTAGTTGAACTCCATTGTCGGTTGTTGCTGTTTAGTATAAGTATAGGGAACAGTGTTGAAACATGCATGCTGACATTTGGGCTTAAAGGGTCAATGTACACAGCATACGAATTCAAACTGAGTCATATGGTTACTTTGCATTTGAATTTCAGAATTATGTTTTTCTAACTTTCTTACTTCCCTACTTGGAGGTTGAAGGTTACCCTGTTTACAAACCTTGCTGCTTTTCATGTGCATAACATGGCGTTTTCAAGCTTGACCATGACATTTTGCATTCGAAAACCAGGAATGTTTTTTAAGGAAACAAGGTCACCGCCAGCCTTGCTTCTATTCAGAAGCCAGGATACTGAGCACACAACTGTGACAGCATCATTGATTTCACGCTAGAAGCTAAGTTAGTTTCAAGGAATTACTTGATTCAGAAGCACTAAAAATTTTTTAATATTTTAAGTCGATCTGTAGAAATTTAAACTTGTTGACAAAGTATACTACTTGAAGACATTCACGACACATATCCCAAATGGGAATGCTAGCCAATATAATCATGAGTCCTTCAGGGGCACCCGACGATGGTTTCATGCTAAATACACGCATGGGAGCACTTTTTGTCCAGAGTACTTTAATATTTCTCGAAACGCATTCTAAGCGGAGCTATACAATTTGTATCATTTTGGTCATCCTAGGGGAACTTGAGTCTTTTCGCCAGAACTTACAAGGGCTTCAATATTATTAGCCTGCGAATACAGCCGTTTCTCCTAGCTCCTGGCCGCCAGTAACGTTTCGCCAGGAGAAACGTCTGCGACTCAGCGACAGAAATTCCATATTGATGACGTAAATCAATGTTTACATAATAAATCCGGTAGTCATGGGGTTCCAAATGTAAATTTGTTTGATATTATGTTTTTCATGATCGATTATTTTAAAGTTTTGTGATCTTTTTCGAACGAGCTCTAGCAAAAATCAGATGCTTTTTCTAAAGACGAGTATATTCTAGGAATATTGACTATTTTGTAATAGATTCATCACGTTTACATTTGCCCTTTGTGGTCATTCATAAACAATAGGTTAAAACAATTTAGTAAAATCCAACTAGTGGTCTATTATCAATGCTGCGTTCTGATTGGTTGAGCTACTACTAGGCTAAATGTTATAGCCTACTAGTAGCGAAAAGCGCTGGCTTTGAAAACCAAAACAATGGCGGCTGAATCGCGTTTTGCTAGCTAAAGTTGTTTTGTCTCCATATTTTTGGCCAACTAGTTGGATTTTACTAAAACAATTAGTCCTCTCGCCCTGATGGCCCCTGAGTCAATAGCCCATTCGGCCTTCGGCCTCGTGGGCTATTGACTCAGAGCCCATTCGGGCTCGAATAATAATTGTTCATTAGACTTCAGTTTGAATGCAACCTCTAACAATAACTTAAGTGAAATCTCACCACTAGCTTCCTCAGGTCCGCCAAGTTGAGAAGGAGCAGCATGTGATCTCGATATCCTACTGTCGCTTGTTTCTGTTGTGAAGCTTTGTGTATCGATATCCTTGGTTTGTGCTAAATCACTCTGAATGTAAGCGACTTTCTCCTGCCACTCCTCCATCTGCACAACAGGACCTTTACATGATAGAAATGAACCAAGTGAAAACGAAAACAAAATAATGAACATAACTCTGTCTCTCCTAAACAAAGGCTCCCCCAGGGATTCCATGAAAAAAAAACGATTATAATAAAAATAAAAATTGTAGACGCGCGCTTTCTTTTTCAGTCTCCCTGAAACCCAAAGAAGCTTCTGTATGTGGAAAGAGAGCGAAGTGACGTAAGGAAAACAGAGGATCCAAAATACTCATCTAATCATATAATAATTTTTACTTAGACAATTATAGGATAATATTTTAGGATTTTACTAAAACAATTATTCCTCTCGCCCTGATGGCCTCTGAGTCAATAGCCCATTCGGCGAACGCTATCGTCGTGGTGAGAAACATGAAGCGTCAACCTGTCGGTTTAGAGAGGCTCAGTGTTTTAAGTTTGGAAAACAAGGCCATTTAGCCAAGGCGTGTCGTAGTATGACCTCGGGGAAGACAAAGGAAAGAAGAAGAAAGAAGAGAAGAATGAACAGCGGTGGAAAAAGAAAAAAGAGAAAAAATAACAGCCAACACATTTAGTCGCGGAAATTTCCGACGAAGAAGATGTCTACGTTGAGACCATGTACCACATTGTCTAAACAAACTGATGCCTTATGAAGTGTCCTTATACCTTTGCAATGAACCGTACAAATTCGAGATCGACACTGGCGCGGCTAGAAGTCGTAAACTGTCTTATCCCACAAGATGAAAAATGGAACTCAACGACCCATAGGATATGTTTTCAGAACCCTACAGGAAGCTGAAAGGAACTACTCCACACTAGAAAAAGAGGCTTTGGCTATAATTTTTGGTATTTAAAAGTTCCATCAATTTCTGTATTGCCATTTGTTCACTATCAAGATGGATCATAAACCCTTGGAAGGGTTGTTAAGTGAAAAGAAAGGGATTCCTTCCATGGCAGCACCACGCACCCAGCGATGGGCACTTACCTTGTCAGCGTACTGGTACAAGATATCCTATAAGGCTGGTAAAGCCAATGGCAACGCAGATGGTTTAAGAAGATTACCCCTACCCGTGATGCCTGATTCTGTTCCTCTACCTGGCGAAACGATTCTTCCAATGGAACATTTGGAAGGCACCCCTGTACATAGTGGGCACATCAATGAGTGCACCAAAAGAGACCCAGTGCTCTCTCAGGTGCTTTGCTACACCTTGGAGGGTTGGCCCAAGACAGCAAACTCTGAAGAGTTAGCCCCTTACTACACTTAACGTACTGAGTTGAGTGTGGAAGATGGCTGTATTCTCTGGGAAACCAGAGTTATCGTACCCCCTCAAGGGAGGTCTAAAGTGCTCTCTGAGTTGCATGAGGCCCACCCGGGTGAATCTCGTGTGAAGGGCTGCGACAAGTGCCAAGCAAACCAGACAACCCCGGCTGAAGCACCCCTACACCCCTGGGAGTGGCCAGGACTCCCTTGGTCTAGAATCCATGTTGTTTACGCTGGTCGTTAGATAGGAGAGATGTTTCTTGTGGTCATTGATGCTTACTCCACATGTTTGAAAGTACACTGTATGAAGTCCACGACCTCAGGTGCTACAATTGAGAAGCTCAGAGAAATATTTGCTAAACACGGTTTACCTGTAACACGTGTCAGCGACAATGGCAGTAATTTCACCAGCTCAGAATTTGAAGAGTTTATGAAGAGGAATGGCATTAAACACATCAAGGTAGCACCATATCACCCTACCTCAAATGGTTTGGCAGAAAGAACTGTGCGAGTCGCTAACGAAGGCTTTGAGAAGATAGCAGAGGGAAAATTCAAACGAAGTTATCTCGATCCCCTCTCAGTTATCGAACAACCCCTCGGAGTACGACTGGAGTGCCACCCGCAGAGTCACTGATGAAGAGGAAGCTGCCTACCCAGTAGTGGGTTTTTGCGCCTGTGCGGAGAGAACTCAAAGAAGCGTAACGACTTTACCAGCATTCTCGTTAACGATTTTTAGACTGAAACTGAACAGCTTTAAACGGTCTTCTAAAAAGTTTATTTTCTTTATATCCATAGAGAAATCGTACTGAATTTTAAAATTTATGGCGTTACTTCATTTTGTCCAAATCTCAATATGATCACGATCTTCTTGACATAACAGAACACAAATCACACTAAAATCAAAACATGCTTTTCAAGCTTGGTGAATTTTACTTCTTTTAGTTTATTCCCCTATTTTAAGCAGTAAGGATGATACTTGTTTTCGCTACGAATTCGGTTCGACACATGTAAAGTTCGACGCTTGAACCGGGCCTTACTCACTCACTTAATAACTAACAACATGACCGTGCAGTTGTTACATGGCTAGTTATCCTATACGATAACGTTTTATCACATAAGGTGTATCTTACCGATGCTGGTTCCTTCCAATCGCGGTGCAGGAGGTGAAGGTTGAGCTAATTGAATTCCATTGTCGGTTGTTACTGTTTAGTATAAGTATAGGGAACAGTGTTGAAACGTGCATGCTGACATTTGGGCTTAAAGGGTCAATGTACACAGCATACGAATTCAAACTGAGTCATATGGTACCTTGCATTTGAATTTCAGAATTATGTTTTTCTAACTTTCTTACTTCCGTACTTGGAGGTTGAAGGTTACCCTATTTACAAACCTTGCTGCTTTTCATGTGCATAACATGGCGTTTTCAAGCTTGACCATGATATTTTGCATTTGAAAACCAGGAATGTTTTTTAAGGAAACAAGGTCACCGCCAGCCTCGCTTCTATTCAGAAGCCAGGAACCTGAGCACACAACTGTGACAGCATCATTGACTTCACGCTAGAAGCTAAGTTAGTTTCAAGGAATTACTTGATTCAGAAGCACTAAAAATTTAAAATATTTTAAGTCGATCCGTAGAAATTTAAACTTGTTGACAAAGTATACTACTTGAAGACATTCACGACACATATCCCAAATGGGAATGCTAGCCAATATAATCATGAGTCCTTCAGGGGCACCCGACGACGGTTTCATCCTAAATACATGCATGGGAGTACTTTTTGTCCAGATTACTTTAGTATTTCTCGAAACGCATTGGTCATCCTAGGGGAACTTGAGTCTTTTCGCCAGAAATTATAAGGGCTTCAATATTATTAGCCTGCGAATACAGCCGTTTCTCCTAGCTCCTGGTCGCCAGTAACGTTTCGCCAGGAGAAACGTCTGCGACTCAGCGACAGAAATTCCATATTGATGACGTAAATCAATGTTTACATAATAAATCCGGTAGTCATGGGGTTCCAAATGTAAATTTGTTTGATTTTATGTTTTTCATGGTCGATTATTATAAAGTTTTGTGATCTTTTTCGAACGAGCTCTAGCAAAACTCAGATGCTTTTTCTAAAGACGAGTATATCCTAGGAATATTGGCTATTTTGTAATAGATTCATCACGCTTACATTTGACCTTTGTGGTCATTCATAAACAATAGGTAAAACAATTTAGTAAAATCCAACTAGTGGTCTATTATCAATGCTGCGTTCTGATTGGTTGAGCTACTACTAGGCTAAATGTTATAGCCTACTAGTAGCGAAAAGCGCCGGCTTTGAAAACCAAAACAATGGCGGCTGAATCGCGTTTTGCTACTAAAACAATTATTCCTCTCGCCCTGATGGCCTCTGAGTCAATAGCCCATTCGGCCTTCGGCCTCGTGGGCTATTGACTCAGAGCCCATTCGGGCTGGAGGAATAATTGTTAATTAGACTTCAGTTTGAATACAACCTCTAACAATAACTTAAGTGAAATCTCACCGCTAGCTTCCTCAGGTCCGCCAAGTTCAGAAGGAGCAGCATGTGATCTCGATATTGCACTGTCGCTTGTTTCTGTTGTGAAGCTTTGTGTATCGATATCCTTGGTTTGTGCTAAATAACTCTGAATGTAAGCGACTTTCTCCTGCCACTCCTCCATCTGCACAACAGGACCTTTACATGATAGAAATAAACCAGGTGAAAACGAAAACAAAATAATGAACATAACTCTGTCTCTCCTAAACAAAGGCTCCCCCAGGGATTCCATGAAAAAAAAAACGATAATAATAAAAATAAAAATTGTAGGCGCGTGGGGAACGTTGGAAAGAGGGAAACGCGTCCCCACGCGCGCTTTCTTTTTCTCTCTTCTCAGTCTCCCTGAAACCCAAAGAAGCTTCTGTATGTGGAAAGAGAGCGAAGTGACGTAAGGAAAAGGGAGGATCCAAAATACCCATCTAATAATGTAATGATTTTTACTTAGACAATTATAGGATAATATTTTAGGATTTTACTAAAACAATTATTCCTTTCGCCCTGATGGGGGAAGCCCTTGAAAAGTCCTTGAATTCTATTTTTCCTTGAAAATTCCTTAAACTTCTGTGCAAGTCCTTGAGAAGTCCTTCAGTTTTCTTCAACTTTGAACGTAGTGGCCTGGAAAGAGTTTTTGATGCTTTTTGGTCGTGCAAGACAGGATATAAATCATAGCTCAGACAATTTAAATGTTATTTATATAAAGTGCTCTATGTTTTACTAATGCAGTAATTTACTATCAATTTAAGACCAGTAAACTGAAACATGTAGAGAAGTTGGTGAAGCAAACAGTTCAAGCCTTAAAGCCTTATTAGAATAGACTGGGAATGAGCATTTTTGTACAATCTGTGAAATTATACTCCTAGTAGGTGGTCCTTGAAAATCTAATGTGGTCCTTGAAAAGTCCTTGAAAAATGGTCGTAATTTTTAGCATGAACCCCGTTTTATTTTTGTAAGCCTGTTCAAGACTGGACTGTTAGATCTATAAGTGCAATGCTAGAGGGGAGGAATGTAATGATGTAGTTAGTTTTGTGCGTGACAGTCCGATGTGACTTTGACTATGTCACATGTTAATCACATGACTTGTAACTCGATGCCTTGTCTGTATTAAAATAGTGTGTGTCTGAACTAACTCATGGCCGGATATTACAATTAGTTATCCTATACGTCAACGTGTTACTCACCGCTGGTTTCTTCCAATCCCATTTCAGACGGTGCACTAAAAGATCGTATCATGACAACATCACTTATTTCTGTTGTGCCAACACTGTGTGTATCGACGTGTTCTAGATAACGCTGTATGTAACTGTATTTCTCCTGCTGCCACACCTCCTTCAGTTCTTTAGGGTTTACAGGACCAAAAAATATGAAACAATTTTCAGTGCAATGCAAATGAAAACGCAAGAGTGAAGAAAGAGTGAAAATTGAAACGAAATTAAAAAGTTGAAGTTTTAAAAAAAGAAAATATGATTGGAAAGGGAAATAGGAAAAAAAATGCTAATGAATAAATTAGCAGAAAGTTACTGTAAGAGAGGAGTCGAAAAACTGAGTTTGGTTAAAAACAATGCCAGAAAGACGTTCTTCCTTTTTCAGCTTTTTCAAACAATTTTTACAACAAAACTCAAAGGAAAAAAAGTTAGCAATTTCTTATCAAGAGCATCACATTAACATTGGAACACCTGCAGGAAGTACTGAATGGATACTGCCACTTCGAGACCGGGCTCTTCAAAACAGGGTTAAGATAACTTAGTGATGGCAAAAAGGTTGAAGTCAGATATGAAAGCTCATTTAGGGCGTGTTGACGGAGAAAGACTGGATATAAATATAAGGTCCACCGGAGAACGCACATCTTTTATCCATTTCTTTTTTGTATTATTATACATTTTAGTGAGCTTTAATTACTATCACATTCGGCCCTTCGTCTTCGTTATTTATGGAATCATCCTCACACTCAGATGTCTGATGTGTGTTGGAATAATTGGTAATAGCTAATTTCCTTGCTCTTAGCGAAGCTAAAATATGCCTCGGGCCGTTGTACGTCATCCATAAAATCGTTTTAGATAAGACATACATAAAAACGCTTTTGTGAAATCTTGGGGGAGCAAAATCGTTCTCAGCTTCTTAGCCTAACTGAAATATAGTCAAGATTCGCTATCAAGACCGAATCTCTAATTTCTTTAGCATGGGCTGCATGATCGCGAGCAACTTGCGAGTCTTCTTCTTCCTAGATATCTTTTTGACTATCTTACTTTCGCCTCTTTGTTCTTTCACTTTCTGATACCAAGATAATGGTCGATTGTTTTGTCAATAGCGATAACTTCAGCCCTTCTTCTTTTATCAGAAAGCCTAGGTGTGCATGTTGATGTTGGAACGAGAAATTCAAGGTACTCATTGGCATATGTGGGAGTCAACCGGCTGTCATTAATTTTTGATGAAGGCAAATATCAGCCTACCGTATGGGGCTATGAAATTTAAGTGCCAATTAGTCTAATTATAGGGGAACTTAGAAAATTTGATTAAATCTTGATATTTTGTAGGTGAACGATGCTGCATCTTCATGCCCCTCTTTTCATATAAATGAAGTTTCCCTAATTAGATGTTTCAACAACGGGTCTAGCTTTTTTCCTGAAAAGACCCTCACAACTCAGACTCGCATCCAGTCGTGTTTCCGAATGCGCTCGCGGTGCCATTCCATTTCTTTTTTGTATTATTATACATTTTAGTGAGCTTTAATTACTATCACATTCGGCCCTTCGTCTTCGTTATTTATGGAATCATCCTCACACTCAGATGTCTGATGTGTGTTGGAATCATTGGTAATGGCTAATTTCCTTGCTCTTAGCGAAGCTAAAATATTCCTCAGGCCGTTGTACGTCATACATGAAATCGTTTTAGATAAGACATACATAAAAACGCTTTTGTGTGAAATCTTTGGGGAGCAAAATCGTTCTCAGCTTAGCCTAACGGAAATATAGTCAAGATTCGCTATCAAGACTGAATCTCTAATTTCTTTAGCATGGGTTGCATGATCGCGAGTAACTTGCGAGTCTTCTTCTTCCTAGATATCTTTTTCTGCCGTTTGACTATCTTACTTTCGCCTCTTTGTTCTTTCACTTTCTGACTGTACCAAGATAATGGTCGATTGTTTTGTCAATAACGATAACTTCAGCCCTTCTTCTTTTATCAGAAAGCCTAGGTGTGCATGTTGATGTGGGAACGAGAAATTCAAGGTACTCATTGGCATATGTGGGAGCCAACCGGCTGTCATTAATTTTTGAGGAAGGCAAATATCAGCCTACCGTATGGGGCTATGAAATTTAAGTGCCAATTAGTCTAATTATACGGGAACTTAGAAAATTTGATTAAATCTTGATATTTTTTAGGTGAACGATGCTGCATCTTCATGCCCCTCTTTTCATGTAAATGAAGTTTCCCTAATTAGATGTTTCAACAACGGGTCTAGCTTTTTTCCTGAAAAGACCCTCACAACTCAGACTCGCATCCAGTCGTGTTTCCGAATGCGCTCGCGGTGCCACATTCCTTTGTAAGAATCAATAAGTGGCGACTGAATAAGTCTGCCCAACTCTGGTTGGACTAGAATACTCGCCAGGGTCACTCGACGACGGCATCATCCTTCCACCTATATGCGCCGGGCACGACAACCGCTGGTTGCAGACTTATGTCGATATCAAAAGCTCTTTATAAGTTTTAATTACCAATTTATCCAGAATTTAAGTGTACGTTTGTGATCGGTATATATAGACCGAATAGATAAATCCGCCTAAGTCTAGAGAATACTTTCGTAATACCAGAATGTCGTTAGACTCTGTTAAGCTAACTTTTCCAGTCTGTAAGAGAACACGAAAATCTTGGCAGTTTAGATGATCGCTCATGGGAGGGTTAACCAGCGGTACATAGCAAAAAAAATACCGAAGGGATAAAGTAAGTAGAATTATTTTGTTAAAAATCCGGTTCAAAATGTTAAGTGTAGAGCGAGAAGATGTTTTACCTTGATAAGGTTATCATTTCTCGGGGTTCTTACTTCAGTGCAGCTGCAAGTTGATAACTATAATGATTTAGTGCCCTCTCAAATTAACTTATTAACATTTTACAAACATTGAAACCGACAGAATAAAGATAAAATCACCTAGTTCTCTACTGATTAACTCCTCCATGGTTTTCTCGTATTCTTGTTGGTCGATGGTCACAGTCACTTCCACTTGTTCTCCACCAGCAAGTTCTTTCATTTCATCACTGACAAATAGGGTTTGTAGGGATTCTTTGAGTTTCCCTTCTGTGTATAACCTNTAGAATACTCGCCAGGGTCACTCGACGACGGCGTCATCCTTCCACCTATATGCGCCGGGCACTACAACCGCTGGTTGCAGACTTATGTGGATATAGCTCTTTATAAAGCTCTTTATAAGTTTTAATTACCAATTTATCCGTAATTTAAGTGTACGTTTGTGATCGGTATATATAGACCGAATAGATAAATCCGCCCAAGTCTAGAGAATGCTTTAGTAATACCAGAATGTCGTTAGACTCTGTTAAGCTAACTTTTCCAGTCTGTAAGAGAACACGAAAATCTTGGCAGTTTAGATGACCGCTCATGGGAGGGTTAACCAGGGTACATAGCAAAAAAAATACCGAAGGGATAAAGTAAGTAGAATTATTTTGTTAAAAATCCGGTTCAAAATGTTAAGTGTAGAGCGAGAAGATGTTTTACCTTGATAAGGTTATCATTTCTCGGGGTTCTTACTTCAGTGCAGCTGCAAGTTGATAACTATAATGATTTAGTGCCCTCTCAAATTAACTTATTAACATTTTACAAACATTGAAACCGACAGAATAAAGATAAAATCACCTAGTTCTCTACTGATTAACTCCTCCATAGTTTTCTCGTATTCTTGTTGGTCGATGGTCACAGTCACTTCCACTTGTTCTCCACCAGCAAGTTCTTTCATTTCATCACTGACAAATAGGGTTTGTAGGGATTCTTTGAGTTTCCCTTCTGTGTATAACCTCCACAAGGTGTTCAGAGATGAAAGGGATCCTGCCTGAACTTTGAGAATGACACTACCCTCAGCAATTTGTATTAGTTTAACGCCAGCGGGAAGGACGCAGGTATTAACAGCGGTTACCAACTGATCATATGTGCAGCCACGCCTCAGGAGCTGATAGGCGGATACTATTACCATACCTCCTGCAGCCACTTTGAACATAGTTTTTATGTTTACAACTGAGGATCAAGAAAAAATAGTGCGTAATTTTTTACGGAGTGGTAGAAAGCAGCAAATTTGGCACTAATTTAGAAGGGGTGCCACATGACTCCATTTTCGTGGGGGCTAGATACGTGATCGTGCATGAATAGATATATAAATAGAACGGTTCCCAGAGGAGGCTTCGCACGTCGACAACAAAGTAATGACAGTGCTATTGTTCTACATCAAACGACACATGTACAGGAAATGACACAAATAACGGATAAATAATTCGATATATGGCGTGGCACATTAAAGTAAAAAAGGGAATGTTCAACAGAAAAAAAGTAATGAACAAAAGCGGCGTGTTTTGGTTCGGATTCCTCTCCAAACCTTTTGGGCCCTTCATCAGTGGAGTTACTAAGTACGTTGAAACCGTTGCAAGGTTTGCATGCACCATGTATTATGATGAAGAATGCTTGCAATGATTAATTTTTGTTCAACATTACCATGTACAGGAAGAACAAACACAATCATAAGCTAACGAAACGAAGGAGGACACCTTATCTCAGGTTACGCGAAACGTAACCTTTCGAAATACGTTGACCTGAATGTCTTGTCCGTCAATGTGATGATTCCCGGCTACGTTTGTAACGCTGGGTCCAGCTATTTAAGCTAGCTATTGTTTTCTCACGAAAAAGTGATCCGAAACAGATACGATTTGTAGCTTAATCTGAAGCTACACTAACTGCTGAGAATTGTCCTGTTAGTTGTTCAATATTATTCTTTGGGAGCAGCCTGACAGTCCATTTTGTTTTTCTTGAGATAAGTGGGTCTTTGGACTGGAGCGCGCGATGTCATGAATTACTTGTGTGTTAGCTTCACAGTCGAGCAACTGTTCAATTGAACAGTTCTTCTACCAGGCAGCACTCATGGTAATACAAGTTGTAAAGAAATACTGCGGCATTTCTAGTTAAGTTGCTATTATGGTTAACCTGCGATCAGGCGTTTTTTTTTCCTCGTCTCCCAAACAAAAAGGGAAGAAGGACACCTGATCGCAGGTTATATTATGGTCTGATCGCTTTCGCACGCAGTGCCGGCTTGAGCTGGCGAAATCCACTCCTCGTTCAAGACCAAAATCTAATGATCCTACCAGCATTTTTTTCTGCGCTGACCATCGGAAAATTCCGACCAAACCTGCGTGGCCCTGCAGGGCTTTCGCGAAATTAAAGACCCGCAAATTTAAATGCTCGAGAAAATTCAATACCTATGTACAAAACTCTAAACACAGAAAAGGTTATGAACATGTAATAGCAACAACTTATACATCACAGGATATGTGCGGAGAAATACATAAAGGGACAGATGTACTCACGTAGTTTAGCCAGTGTTTAACAAAACCGCGTTATTATCCATTTAATCTAAACACCATTTATTGTGAACGGGTTTATGAAGGCATATAGAGTAGACTAGAAAAGTATTTATCTTCCTAAAATAACCCACTAAGGAAGAGATCTGGGGGTCCAAAGTCTTGCAACACCACGGCTAAGTTAGAATTCGTTTAAATAACCGGCCCAAATTGTTTACTGGTTTTACTGCTACGTTTCATTTTGTATCTTAAAATGTGGTGAGCAGAAATAACGTTAATTTGCGAAGATTTCATCTGTAATTTTTTATAAGTTTAGACTTTTTGAAAACTAAAATGAAGTCGAGAACGCAAAATAGCGAAATCTGATGCCTTTCTTTCCTATTTGCTGTTGAAATTGCGAAAATAAACCTTCGCGAAATACTGCCTCACCAAAATCGCGAAAATAAGTACTCATCGGGGAAGGGGGGGGGGGGATGAGGGGTGAAGTTAAGCAAACAGATCATGGTGCCTTGTCTAAACTTGATGTCCAGGCAGCCAAGCACGATCAAAAACTCAAAGCTGCAAAGGCAATCATAGCAGCAGAGGATTTCAAGCTGAAAGAGCTCAAGGAACAACCAGCTAAAACTGCACATGTATTCCCTGGCACAATTTGTGAAGAATGCCTGCAAGGTCAAGTTTCGTTGCAAGCAAAGGAATCTGTATAGTGTTACCAATGGCTTGTCACCCTGGATTTACAATTGCACTCGATAACATTGATTTGGACATCAATGCAACGAACATGACCTTGTCAAAAACCTGAGAAACAACATTCAATTATTCTTTCGCTTTTTTCAAGAAGAAGGCAAGTGTAATGAGAATAGAATAAATTGAGACGTTAAAAAAGTATATGTTTTCGTCGAAAAAAACGGACAAAATATTAATAGTAAAATGTGCACTTTTTTCAGTTTCGTTTGTTCTGTTTATTTACCGCCGTGTATGTCGAAGACGCATGTCTCAGAATCAAACAAAGCCCGCATTAATTGCTTTATCATTTTCCGTGACCAGCTTTCTTAGTTCAGTAAAAAAGGCAAAATTATTCTTGCGGTGACTTTAATGCACGTACTGGAAACTTGGATGACTTTGCAGAAGATGTCTCTTGAGTTTCTAATTCTAGATTAGGAGTATCTGAACGCGAACATGTTTTACAAAAAGCAACAGGGATCATACAGTTAACAAGTTTGGCTTACAATTAATAGAGCTTTGCCATGGTTTTAAATTAAAAATTCTTAACGTGAGAACTAAAGGGGAAAGACTAGGCGACTTAACTGCTTCACCCCCAATGGAGTAAGTTCAATTTACTACGCTGTAGTAAGTGAGGAATTACTAAATGAAATAATGGGTTTTGTCGTCTCCGCTCTAACGGACTGGTCATGCCATTGTCTAATATCTTTTGTATTGAGGGGTGTGTTTGAAACCAGAAAAGTCTCCTTTTCAGTTACACACTCTACCTGTGTCTTTCAAATGGGGCAATATATTCAAAACAAAATTTTTGGATGACTTATCATCACAACAGGTGGTAGACTGCCTTAACAAATTTTTTAATACATGTCTGAAAGACGACTCCTGTGATGTCGATGACGCGGTTAACGATCTTTCGGATGTTGTTTTCGGTGTTGCAGAAGCCACGTTACCTGTTTACAGGTTTACCTGTATTGAAAACTCCAAACATTCCCAGGAAAAGAAAAATAAGTGTTTTGATAAATCTTGTTTCGAACTTAATAGAGAAGTACTGCGCTTTGGAAAACTAATTCGAAATTTCCCTCTGATCCCATTTTACGAGGTACATTTCTTGTAATAAGGAAAGCTTTAAGGAAATTAGTAAAAACGAAGAAAAGATATTTTAAAGAATTCTTACTTCAAAAAATTGCTTCTTTTGAGTCTTACCATTCCATGGCGGGACTTCTGGGAAATGGTAAACGAATGAAGTAAAAAATCAGCCAACCAAATATCAGACAAAGTTGATGCAGACGACTGGTTCACCTATTTTAGACTACACTCTCTACACCCCATAACTCCTCAAAGAGTGGGTTTGAGAAGTTGGTTTGACTTCAACGTATCCAATATTGCCGAATTCGCAAAATTAAATGAACCAATCCTAGACGAAACAATCACGCTTGAAGAGATACGTAAAGCATCGACCAAGTTAAAAACTGGCAAGGCAGCCGGAAGTGATGGCATATCTAATGAGATGATCAAATCAAGCGTGTCCATCATTGGGCCTGTATTGAAAATTCGTTTTAATAAAGTTTTTAATTCCGGCATATTTCCCTAGTTGTGGTCGGTGGGTCATATTTCACCCGTATTTAAAGCGGGTGATATAGGCGACCCTAATAACTATCGCGGAATTAATGTATGTAGTCGTTTACATAAATTCTTTACCCTAATTATTAATGACCGTCTTACAAAATATCTTGACGAACACAATATAGTACATAACAGCCAAATTGTTTTCTGAAAAGGCTATAGGACGTCTGACCACGTTTTTGTTCTGAAGACTCTAACTGATCTTAATACGAAAAATGATAAAAAGGTATACGCCTGCTTTGTCGACTTTCAAAGGCCTATGACACAATTTGGAGAAACGGCCTTTTCCATAAGCTAATGAAATATGCATTTTCTCAAAAGATTATATTTCCACTGAAAAGCATGTATGACAGAGTTGTTTCATCGGTAAAAGTAAAACTACAAGCGGGTTAACGGCGACGTTTACACCTTTAGTATGGGTACGACAGGGTTGTAACCTGAGCCCAACATTATTTAACATTTTTGTAAGTGATATTGTTGATCTATTTTACTCCCCTTGTGATCCCTGATCCATCCATCATGGAAGAATGCAAAATCAATTTTTACTATATGCAGATGATCTTATCCCGCTTTCCGAATCAGAAAATGGTTTGCAGAGATGGCTTGATAAGTTAAGTTATTACGTTAAGAAATGGCAAATGAGGATAAATATAAAAAAGACAGAAGCTATTATTTTTATCACAAGTGGTACTGAATATTTAGAGGTGAATTCACGCTAGGTAATCAGCCAATCCAAGTAACTGATAGTTACGTCTACCTTGGAATAACTTTCACGCCTTCTGGTTCTTTTTTACTGGCCCAGAAAAAGTAGTTATGATAAAGCCTCAAGGTCTCCTTATAGTTTCCTGTCAAAGAAAAATATTTACAATGGTGCTTCTGTTTCAGCAGTTTTTAAACTTTTTGATTCTCTTGTGAGCCCAGTCCTTTCGTACAACTGTGAAATTTAGGGTTGTTTTTAAAATCAGTCGGGAATAACTCTGACAGATTTGTCTCGAGAATTTTTGATCAACGAATAACACCCGAGAATATGCATAACAAGGTATACAAAATGGCCTTAGGGGTTCACTCTAAAGCAAGTAACCTTGCGGTGAAGGAAGAACTCGGACGTTTTCCTCTTCATCTTATTATTTACACTAGAATTTTTAAGTACTTCTTAAGGTTACTTACTCAACAAAAAAGCTAAATTTTAAGTAGCGCCCAAGAGATAAACATCCATTTAAATAATGTAGGTAAGCATTCACCATTTACTGCTGTAAAGCACCCAGTACACTTTACTAAATTGACTGATTATACTCCAAATCTGCCACATCTTGACTACAGGAGAATTCCTCACGTGGTTAGAGTGTTTAAAAGAAATTTGTTAAAATAATACCAGGAAAATTGGTCGAAAAATTTGATAAAGGATAAATTTGACTCCTCAGCTGGAAATAAACTAAGTCTGTATAGTGAATTGAAAAACGAAAACAAGTCAGATTTGAAACTTATCATGATTTAATAAAGAACATAGTAAGACAAGAGTGGCAGCAACCAAAATGCGAATTTCGTACCACTTGCTACCCATTACAAGAAGCTACCCAGAGTTGAGAGACTTTGTCCCCTTTGTAATAGATCCGAAATTGGTGATGAATTCCACTATTTGTTGAAATGAACTCACTCATGACTTTCTAATATAAGGGGTACCTTCTTGGGGAGCCTATAATGGATAAACAGTAATTTTACGAATATGTCTTGCAAGGCACTATTTTTATTTATAAAATAACTCAGATAGTATGCGCGCTCTGATGGGCCGAGAGGCGTGTTTGCATGAGAGTATGTAAACATGGTTGTGACGTCAAGCGCTAATCACGAAAGCACGAATTGGAAAAAAGGTTTTGAGTTGAAAAATTCGTCGACAAGTTTACTTTATTTACCCATTTTCTCGTCGGCTAAAACTTGGAAAATCTTTGAAAACATGCTGTGTTAATTTTTTTTCGCTTGAGCTGACATTTTAAGCAAGAAAAACCCGTATTTTGGAAAGCATTTCTTTTTGCAAAACAAGGACTGAATTACGCGTACAAGCTTCGTGTACAATACTTCGCGACTGGTAAGAATTTCTCTTTTAATCAGCGCTCTAAACAAGATAGTTTTGCTTTTTTCCTCGGGAAAGTTATTTCCTAAAAGCAATAGAAAACTTTTTTTCCTGTGTTTGCATATCCTGATATAAACACTCAACGGGTTGCGAGAATTCTCGACCGTTATGCAAACCCTCGACTTCGTCTCGAGTTTGCACAAGTGTCTCGAATTCTCCCAACCCCTCTCGCGTTTATATCAGGCCATGCAAACACGGTTAAATATCATGTCTATGTGCGATGAAAATAACGGACAGAAGGTCGCCGGTCCTCATGACCGGCCAAATATTTTTTAGCCCGGACAAACCGCGATTTTGGCCGGTCAAATAATGAATACTATCATTTTTTTTTGCCTAATGGAATATGGAATTACGCTGGCAATAGATCGTTGTAGTGCATTGACGTTCAGCTTTTTGGCGGCAAGTTGGTGAAAAATTCATTCACACGTTCTTGAGTTCCTTTCCGCGGTTTTTGCCCGTTTTCAAGTCCGTTATACCTTGAGTATCATCGTATGGCGGTGACTGAAATCCCCAAGGTTCGTCCCATATCTGCATATCGGTAAAACTTGATCTTTTTCGTTGCCCGGCACGTAATCGAAAGTCTCCTCAACAAAGAATCCTTTAGTTTTCTAACGGATAACAGATTATTGTTACTGTATTTTTTCCCAAAGACGGTCTCACTATTGGTTCTAGCACAAGCAGGAAGCACAGTACCACCTGCTGCATCTTGCGTCACTTCACAACTCAGTTTGTTGTTGTTTCGCTTTGTTGCGTTTCGTTACGACATGACGACATGAAATTTATTGCGGCGTTCTTTTTTCTTGAAAGCCTTTAGTGCAAAGCAGCAAAAAAAAAACTAAAGAAAAAAGAAGTCATTACAGTGTTATAGAGCAAAACGCATTGAGCGACAACTTATGGAAAATATTACAAAATGTTCGTATCCAAAAATGACCGGCCAGACGAGAGTTTGGCCAGTCAAGTCCACGATCAGGCCGGACATTGTCCGTTGACCGGCCGTTATTTTGAGCCCTGAAACATCATAAATCTTAGTGCCTCTTATATTGAAAAGATTCTAAATTGTTATAACCCGAATTCTACTTTAACTTGCTTAACATACGAGTAACGTAGAAGCCGTACATAGCCAAGTAATTTTCTATGTTAATGTTCAATATATAGTTGTTGTTCCTGTCTCTCCTACTTAACTTTTATTTTACTTCGTTTCATTTGTTGTTTTATTGATTGTTTTGGTACCGAAATCTTGTATTCAATCTTTCCCATAAAGCTCATAGCTATAGCCCGTTATGTCAACTTACCTCCAAGTAAATTGCTGCTAGCCGACGACGCAATCTCTCTCTCTCTCTAGATTCATTTGAAAGCAAGGTAGGGGAGACAAAGTAAAACCTACAACAATGGAGAAAGACTGAGAGACCGTAACGAAAGACCCTCTAGAGTGTTCTAGAACGGCTGAGTGAAGAGTACCTTTTCGCCATTCAAATTCATCCTCTTTGTTTCTTCTTTCCTGAAGGTCCACCACTTCCTGAAGTAGTTCTCTTTGCTCCTTCTGGGTCAAAATCCGTTTTAAGACCTCGAGACGGTCAATCCCTAGGGATTCATTGTTTTCGAGCTCTTTAAACAGTGATCTAACATCTCCCATGCTACTACGTTTTTCTTCCGGTATCCAATCATTGCAAATGGCTACGAGTTCTTCGAGACAATCGAGCTCGTCAAGTACATGAATAATCTTTTCCAACAAGCTCTTATATTCCTTTCTTTTGGCCTCAAAAGCTTTGACATTTCCAAAAAGGGACCATTCTTTCACGCCTTTCAATACATCTTTCAAGACTTCCAATTTGTCAGGACCAAGAAAACTATTCTGCTCCAGTTCCTCAAACAACGGGAAGACATTTTGCATATTTTCGTCGCTTCGATGCGCCACCTTTCCTCTGCACATAACCAATAACTTCCTGCCCGCATTCAGTTCGTCTATTCTCTGACTTATCTCGAAGAGTAAACTGTTGTATTCGACTGCAGACATTATGGGAAAATTACTGATTGCTTTACATAACGTTGTTGAACTAAGGCAAACAAAGCGATGTAGTTTAATTCACTTCGCTGGTCACGCAATGTTTGACGCTTTGCATAATTATCAGTCTCGTTCTTAGAGTCCGCGTTGCTTTGTCCAGCGGAACGGGAGACGACGGGGACGCACTTCAGCTCAATCAAATCCGTCTGCGGAAAGAAACATTTACATGCAAAGGAGTCCTCGATGAAGACTGTCCGGTCTATGTGATTGTAAGGTTTGTAAATTATATAAAGCAAGCTGATGCGAAGCATTTTTCGTGCACTTTGCTCTGACTACTGGTGAAGAAATGTCAGCGACATCTCCATTTCAAAGTGGCTAGATATCCCAATGTTTGGCAAAGAATTGGGAAACGTGGACTTGAAATAGAGAAGAGTGAGTTGGTTTGTTATTTTCTTTTTCATTTTGTTAACTTCTTCTTGTAATGGAAATGATTAACCATAGCAAAATTTGGCATTGTTTAGAAATATTCGCTTTCAGTTATTTAGTTTTTAAAAGAGAAGTATTATTACAAACATACTGTGGAGTTGATAATTTTTTAAGTTAATTAGTATTTTCAGTCCAATGAAAGTTCAGTTATCTTCTGAAGCAATACAAGCTGCAGTGAAATTTTTCTAGAAGTCTGCTCCTGATAAAGTATTGCCTGTGTGGTTCTACAGTTTTGCATGCTTTACAGAGTCACTTTATGGAGATTCTGGCGTCTTTTTGGGATTGGACCGTAGCATCAGAGGATTCTTCTTGACTTTGCAATGGTTCTTGTTATTCGGTTGTACTATTGCCATAATCCACCTGGGTATTCACTGAAGAGTTGACAGGGAGCCATTTCTTCGACACGTCATAATGAAAATAAACTTTTCCATTAACAACTAACTTATCTCCTACGACGGTAGCTTTGTGGCAAGGTGTTTCTTGTTTTACCTTCTTCAGCGCCGTGATAAGGACGTTTTTTCTGATTTCTTGTATGTGCCTCGGTAGGTCTTCACCCATTGAAATACGCGAGTTTTTCAGCCTGTAACGAGCCTTCCAGACGCGATCTCTGTCAGCACGACACGTGAAGCGAGCAATGAGAGGTCGGGCTCTGTTTCTGTTTGGCTTGCCAAGACGGTGTGCCCAGCAAAGCTTCATATTCGAGACTTCGTCCTGTGGCAGGTTTAAATTTCGGGTTAAGACGTCACGTACCAGCGAGAAACAATCCTCGTCTTTGGACTCATTGACTCTTTTGTGAAATCTTTTGTGTTGTTCACTGTCTTATTGACTTCACGGAGTTGTTTCTTTAGGTTCAACTTGAGCTGCGTCAAGTCTAGCCTCCAGATTAAGAATTCGTTCTTCACGGATTTTAGTGTTGTCTTCGATAGCTGTAAGTCTTAATAAGAAACTTTGACATTCTGTTAGCGTCATTTTGATGTAGGCGCCATCTTGGGCTGCTTCGATGGATTCCGTATCGGTACCAGAGCTGCTTATCCTCGGTCGTTTTTTATCTAAATCTTTGTTTCCCATGTTCGTAACTGTTAGTATGGTGGAAAACGTACAAAAACGGTAATATTCACTGTGTTGTGTTAACTTNCAGAGGATTCTTCTTGACTTTGCAATGGTTCTTGTTATTCGGTTGTACTATTGCCATAATCCACCTGGGTATTCACTGAAGAGTTGACAGGGAGCCATTTCTTCGACACGTCATAATGAAAATAAACTTTTCCATTAACAACTAACTTATCTCCTACGACGGTAGCTTTGTGGCAAGGTGTTTCTTGTTTTACCTTCTTCAGCGCCGTGATAAGGACGTTTTTTCTGATTTCTTGTATGTGCCTCGGTAGGTCTTCACCCATTGAAATACGCGAGTTTTTCAGCCTGTAACGAGCCTTCCAGACGCGATCTCTGTCAGCACGACACGTGAAGCGAGCAATGAGAGGTCGGGCTCTGTTTCTGTTTGGCTTGCCAAGACGGTGTGCCCAGCAAAGCTTCATATTCGAGACTTCGTCCTGTGGCAGGTTTAAATTTCGGGTTAAGACGTCACGTACCAGCGAGAAACAATCCTCGTCTTTGGACTCATTGACTCTTTTGTGAAATCTTTTGTGTTGTTCACTGTCTTATTGACTTCACGGAGTTGTTTCTTTAGGTTCAACTTGAGCTGCGTCAAGTCTAGCCTCCAGATTAAGAATTCGTTCTTCACGGATTTTAGTGTTGTCTTCGATAGCTGTAAGTCTTAATAAGAAACTTTGACATTCTGTTAGCGTCATTTTGATGTAGGCGCCATCTTGGGCTGCTTCGATGGATTCCGTATCGGTACCAGAGCTGCTTATCCTCGGTCGTTTTTTATCTAAATCTTTGTTTCCCATGTTCGTAACTGTTAGTATGGTGGAAAACGTACAAAAACGGTAATATTCACTGTGTTGTGTTAACTTTTCAAAGCCGGGTTTGCGGAGCTTTCAAATGTACGTCTTTCTCCAACGGCTCACTACTTTTTAGAGAGGCTTTTGTTACATGTAGTTAGTTGACTACCCTTTTTTCCTTTTTATTGTATATATTTTACTTAGTTAATCTTAGCAAGTCGAATGTATCTTATTTTTTAGAAATTAATTTCTACAACTGTAACAGTTATATATTTTCTTTAATAACTCAAATGTTTTATTATTTGTAGAATTACGATTATTGTAAAGCGCCATTGAGCTCACGGAAATGGCGCTATATAAATTCTTGTATTATTGTATTATTATTATAAAATTGGGTATAAAGTATTACGCTTTTTTAGAATTTTGGTATAGAGAATATTAGCTCTAAGAGGTCAATATCGTCCAATGCGAAATTAAATCTCGTTTAAAATCTGGACAGCGAAATTCGAACCGTATTTCAACTGGAGCTTTCCAGACTTTCCCTTGACTGCCTTTGTGTGCCATGCCCTGAGTAAAATACAAGTTCTACTTGTAGTTTCCGGCAGCCATCTGCAGTCTGCTGTGAAGAGGGTTCGACCAACACACTTATCATGGAAGACACCAATAATGGTAGATTGAAGATGATAACAAATACCCTTGCTTTATCTCAAAACGTTCTTTGAAAATCTGGGGAAGCTGTTAAGTGTATTCAAATGGACCGAAACAGATGGTGGTGGTGTTCTTGATGACACCAGCCCTAACTCAAGCGTATTTACACCCAAACTTCTTCATGAGCAAGTAGTGCATGTTCATCAGATGACTTAAAGGGATCCACTGCTCAAAAATGGAACTCTCTCTTCGACAAGGCTTACCCTGAATACGTGAGCCACCTCAACGCTCGTAGCCCCTAACTCTCAAGCAGGGAAGACAGCAACGCCAACTATGCTGGATTTCAGCTTGGGTTTTGTAATGTGTAAAAGGGAACTTAGTAGATTTCAAATGTTTCAACTATTTTACGAATCCTAATGCCACCTACTAGCTAACTGCAGTTATCTAAATATAAAAGGCGTCACCATCAAGTTTTCCGAATTAGCAATGCTTCCAAACCTAGAAGGGTTGCTTAACACCAAAGCACTAAAACTGGCAGATCTTTGGCAGTTGGCATCAATCATTTATGGTGGGAGTGTACGACAGAAAACAAATTGGAATTTTTCGGTAAAAGACAATCCTGAAACACCGCCATTAAAAACGTTTAACCCTATTAAAAACGTTCAACCCTATTGCAAGATTAAAGTAAAGTAAAGTGCGAACCTCCATGTGTGCCACCTCCGACGTCAGTGACTACCTCCCATAACCTCAAGCAGGTTCTTATATGTGGGTTACAGGTAAATTTAAGTTAACATTTTAACGATGGAGTTTGGCTTCGAGATGGCCAATCAATGTTACACTGAAGAAGACACTGCACCAAACTGTAATTACAAATACATGTAGAAGTATTACTGTAATTCCTATGACGCAAAAAAGGTTTTATAGAACACATTGTAATTGTCTTCAGCTTCCGGGACCTTGCATATGTATTTTTGAGTCGATCGAATTAAAGAACCAAACGCAAGTTTCTTTATTTGGTAGTCAACAACTATAACTCCTTCATAGAAATTAAAAACCTAATTAAGAACCTACTTAACCTAATTTGCCAATAACTACCCTTAAAATACAAGAACCTTTCTTGCCAGACCTCAAAAAATGTAGGTCCATACTAGCAAGTGATTACTGTTTTAGAATCAGAAATGCGGGCCTACTGAGCAGGTAGCTTTTTAAAAGCCACGCTTCTTCCTTGTTTGCTGTTAAACAGAACATTTAAAAGTGATTTTCCTTGCTAATTTCAACACTGCTCCTCAAGATATTTAAAATATCAAATAGTAAACATGATGCACCACTGGCCTCTCCTCACGCCACATTGCCTAGTTTCAAATCGAGAGGGGCTGGGTACGAGTCGGTTTATTGTATGGGATAAACGACACGAGACTCATATAGTCGGAAAGAGCATATTGAAATTAGCACCATCCTTAAGTTTGGTGTTTATCGGGCCTATATTGAACGAGACACAGCCGTTCAAAAACTCCAAAATATACTGAGAAATGTATAGACGTCCGGACGATGTGTCCGGCAATCCATGCATACGTCTCTCTGTATCTCTTGTTCAATATTTGGCCCGATCGACACCAGACTTCAAATTTTTCATGACATCAATGTGCTCTTCCTGACTATGTGGGTCTCGTGTTGTTTATCCATAATAAACCGACTCGTACCCAGCCTTTCTCGATGTGAAACCAGGCAACGCCAAATATTGCAGTTATGGCGTGGAATGAAAAGGAATATCCTGGGGTGCTTCAATCGTGTTTATAGTTCCGTTTTCTGAAGTCTTGGAAGGCAGGACAAATTTTCAAGTAAGTCGCAAACAGAACCAGAAACTTGAAAATTCCCTTGATCAAGCTGTTGGGAAGCCTTCTTGATAGGTAAAGTCCTTTCAACTTCCCGGAACACTGCAATAAGATCTAATGTCTGCCAACGTTTTTTCAGTGCTCAAAGATGGTGGGAAGAGCTAATTTTCCTCTCTCATTGATGCGCACATGAAGAGTTTCCTGGGGAAGTTCTTCTGTGTTCAAATGTAGCCAGTACCCAATATCGGTTAGTTAGTAGCTTCGTGCTTGGAATGAGAGCCAATTTTTCGGTCAAATACCTTCGAGTCGTCCTTAAAAACTCTTTAATTTCATGGCTGTAGACAACTAAACTGTTTGTTAAAAGCACAACAAAAAGAGTAGATTCGTTATCTGCAAAGCAAAAACAAAATCATTAATCTCAACCTTTTTTATGTTATGTGTCTGAGTGACTAAAAAGTAAATAAACAATAAACAATAAAACGTGCAACTTGCATCTTGTTTTGCAACATTGCTGCAAAACTAGTTGAAAAGTAATGTTTCGAGTTTTTCCAACCCATTTAAACCTGCCTTGTTGCACGATTACAGGCCGATAAGGCTGATCTTTGCTTTTGGGTACTAAAATCACCCCGCGCTGGGAAAAATTAATATAGCCACACACGACGCAATCCTCGACCAATCAGACTCTAATCACCAATCCCCAGTTTTCAAAAATTGGATAACGCTTTCCACTGGATAAATCTCTATCCAGCCAGTGGATTACCCAATTGGTTTTCCTTAGACTTTCAGGTGCATCCGGTGGACACAGCGTTGTCTAAGGTTTGAACAACCGAAGCCTAAGTAATTATGCTAAAAATGAATACAGGCCGTGTTGGGGATGGGGGAGGGGAAGCAAACAATTGAAAAAGAAACTCTTCTGCATGCAGTTTCTACAACGATCTGCGATCTGACAAAACTGCGTTTACTAAGAAGAACACTCAGACTGAACCAGAAGACAAAGTATCGCGAAGAACAAGGCAACATTATGATGTAGTTTTTGTTCTTTCATCTTATCTTTATAAACTTACCTTCAACTTTCGCTTGGCAAATCCATTTGTCCATGACGCTCGAAACAGCCATTTCGAACTTCTTTTTCTCTCCCTCTAATTCTCCTTGTAGTTCGTCTTCCAATTCTGTTTTATCTTCTCCTCGATTTTCTCTATGTTTAGATTTAGTTGCTCTCTATATTCTATCACCCTTTGTAGTTTCAACTTCATTCCCGGTTCCTCTTTGAAGAACGGCATTAACAGTTGCTTGTTTGTATTAATAGCGTCCGGTATTTTTGCTCTTCTGGAAGAGCCGTACAAACTCCTAGGGAGTTTTTTTTTTCTAGAACCTCCTTTGTCGTCGCTTCCGTTTTCTTTGCGTTCCGGTAATTTGCTTCTTCCGTTTCCTTTCTAGACCGGAAACTGTTCAGATCTTTATCCAGTTGCCCTGCAACATTCACTGTTACTTCCGTTATCTGGCNATTTTCTCTATGTTTAGATTTAGTTGCTCTCTATATTCTATCACCCTTTGTAGTTTCAACTTCATTCCCGGTTCCTCTTTGAAGAACGGCATTAACAGTTGCTTGTTTGTATTAATAGCGTCCGGTATTTTTGCTCTTCTGGAAGAGCCGTACAAACTCCTAGGGAGTTTTTTTTTTCTAGAACCTCCTTTGTCGTCGCTTCCGTTTTCTTTGCGTTCCGGTAATTTGCTTCTTCCGTTTCCTTTCTAGACCGGAAACTGTTCAGATCTTTATCCAGTTGCCCTGCAACATTCACTGTTACTTCCGTTATCTGGCTCTTTGAATGTAGCCCTTCGAAAAAAGATCCGATGTTTTCAAAACATGCGTCTCCAGCATCTGACTTATCAGTGTACGCGATTATTAAAACCTCTGCCTTGCTGTAAAACTTTGTGGGTCGTTCACTGGCGTTTAGGAACTTCCTCATTTCTTTCAAGGGAACAGAAGGACGAAGTGTGCGTGGTTTCACTTTCTCTAGGAACTCTACGAGATCATGTAACTGCAGTTCCTCAAAAACGTCTCTTAACAGCTTCATTGTGGTGTCTGGAAACAATTCACATATTCTTTGCAGCCTATTGGGTTTCAGTTTCTCAGGGTCGAGTCCAAATGCCTTGCAAAATTGCTGCAGAACAGTTAGGTCATTTTGGAGTCTCCGTGCCAATTCTTCCGTCACTGCGCTATCTAAATCTTTTAAGCAAAGATTTCAATTGGAATCTACAAAGAAGAGAAAAATAAGAAATGCGACTAGTTAATTTCCCCCAGCTGAAAAAATAGTTTAGCGAAATGTTAAAATCAGTAATCACCTCGTTGATTCATTGAAATTTCAAATGAGAACTTAAACTTGAATACGATATGAAATCTCATTCTTTTTTAGGGTGCAAGGGTAGTGACGCTGTGGTGAGAGCACCCCCCTTGAGCTCCCACCAATTTGACCAGGGTTCAAATCCCGGTGTCGACACCGTATAATTTGGGTTGAGTTTGTTGTTGGTTCACTACCTTGCTCCGAGAGGTTTTTCTCCCCGTGCTCCGGTTTTCCCTTCTCCTAAAAAACCACTGACAGTTCTTAGGTACTCGTTTAAACGTGTCCGTGCTTTCCAGGACGATTTGAAATTTAGAAATGTTGCTTCGTGGGTAAAGAAATTACAATTTCAGACAAAAGTGCTAACTCTCGGAGTGCTATCTCTTCGTCAGAGCGAATCGATTCAATCTGACCTGTATCAGCTAGCGCTCCTAAGGTCAGCGTCTTGAACCTTTCCTAATATCATCAACTCAGTACATTAAACCAAGAGAGAATAATGGATCAGAGAGGCCGGGAAACGTCCAGTCTAGCTCTTGTTATATGCGAATTTTACCAAAGTTATTTTTAGACCTATTAAGCGCTTGAAACTTATCGGAAGATAAATTCCGGGGTCCAGAAAATTTAATTCAGTGCCTTCGATTCAAGATAAAATTAAATTCAACAGCTACCATAACAATATCAGTCTGCTTAAGGCAGTCGCGCTTGGAATTGATGACGTTTCAATTAATCGATTAACCTAACCTATGGTCTTATCTCTTGGGGAAACGCCTGTAAAACGTATATCGACAAATACTTATCCTTCAAATCGTGCACTACGCTTTATATATTCTGCAAACAGACATCATGCTATTCCTTTATTCAAAATGCTAAATTAATGCCACTGAATTTCTTGTATTATGAATCCGTCTTAAACTTAATGCACGACATAGACGAAAGAAATGCAGCGATAAATATTTTGAACTTGTTTTCAAGGACATCAAATTCACATCACTACTCTACACGTTCATCAACTTCAGAACACTTCTATATCAAAAAATCTTGACTTAAATATACAAAAGAATGCGTTCTCTTGTGTTGGCGCAACGATATGGAATGATATGCCAAATAGCTTTAAAAACATTATATCAAAGAAGACCCTCAGAAAAAAAAAATTAAAGGAACTTTATTACATATGCTGAAAACCGAAGACAACTATTAGTACTAGATAATGATAAAATCATGGCCAAACTTTAACTTACAACTCTTCTCTCTTTACATATGTGTACCTGTCATAATAGTTCCTTTTTTTGTCGTTTAATTAGTTTTCCTTTTTCCTTTTTTGTTTAATGTGGAACCTGCCTCGATTAGTTTAGCTACCTGCAGGTCAGTTACATTTGATTGTAATAGTTTTTATATATATTGAATAAATTTGAACTTGAAAAAAAAAATGAAACTGCGCGGACATATCTGCAATTAGACTTCAGTTTAAATACAACCTCCAACAAAAACTTAAGTGACATCTTACCGCTGGCTTCCTCAGGTCCGCCAAGTTCAGAAGGAGCAGCATGTGATCTCGATATTCCACTGTCGCTCGTTTCTGTTGTGAAGCTTTGTGTGTCGATATCCTTGGTTTGTGCTAAATAATTCTGAATGTAAGCGACTTTCTCCTGCTACTCCTCCATCTGCACATCAGGACCTTTACATGATAGAATTAAACCAAGTGTAAACAAAATAATGAACATAACTCTCTCTCTCTCCTAAACAGAGGCTCCCTCAGGGATTCCATGAAAAAAAAAATTAATAATAAACATAAAAATTGTAGACGCGCGGCCGGGAACGTTGGAAAGAGGGAAAGGCGTACTCACGCGCGCTTTCTTTTTCTCTCTTCTCAGCCTCCCTGTAACCCAAAGAAGCTTCTGCATGTGGAAAGAGAGCGAAGTAACGTAAGGAAAACAGAGGATCCAAAATACCTATCTAATCAAATAATAATTTTTCCGGGTTCAATGCTACCCAAGTTCACAACTAAAATGATTTTCCTCATCTAACACTCTTCCAGTTTTGAAGATGAAATTAGGTATCATCTGTGCGTTAATGTTAACTGGAAAAAAAAATCAACTTGTGCTTCACTGATGACTCCTCACGGGCTTGGTCGTATTCTTCTTCGTCAATGGTCACAATCACTTCCACTTGTTCTTCCCCAGTAAGTTCTCTCAATTCATCAATGAAAAACAAAGCTTGAAGGGATTCCTTAAGCTTCCCGTCTGTGTATAAACACCACAAGGCGTTAAGAGCTGAAATGTTTTCGGCTTGAACTTTGAGGATTACGCTCCCTTCAGCTATTTGCATCAGTTTAACGTCAGCAGGAAGGACGCAGGTATTAACAGCAGTTACGAACTGATCATATGTGCAGCCACGCCTCAGTAGCTGATAGGCAGACGCTATAATTGTATCCCCTGCAGCCACTTTGAACAATGTCTTTATGTTCAGAACTGAAAATCAAGGAAGACAATAACAATTTTAAGCCAAAATAGTAATAAAGTCTCAAAAAATGTCCTCTGAACTCTTTTTTAAACAAAAAATGCAAGACTTGACCGGGGGTACCCCCTTATATAAGCTATATAGGTATGTTCTGCCCATCGGGTAGGGTTTTTGCGCCGTTTTGGTCTGAAAGCGGGTATACACGTTGCCCATTTTGGTCTGGAAACGGGTATGGTTTTTGAGGGAACTACAGGAGTGTATGAACGTATTCATCGTTTCAATTCCAACTGAGTAAGAAAGAAAGAGAAGTATGCGAACTCGAAACGGATTTGAAGAATTTTTGTGTTTGCGCTCTAGTCTAAGTACAGTGATAACATAATTTCTGTCTAAAGGTCAGGTCTGAAAACGGGTGTGGGAAATTATATTTTTTGGTCTGGAATAAGGTCAGGTGTTGGAGAACCGGGCGGCACACCCCCACCAAGAATTCCCAGGAGTACCCCCTCCCCCCCCCCCTGGGTACTTGATTTGCAGGAGTGAAAATCTATGAAAGGCTATATGCCATAACCGAGTCTCTAAGATCAATTAAATCTGTTTGATAGGCAGCCAATGGAGCTGGTGCTTGAGCGTGCACGGCTTCCTCTCGCTCCAGATGTTCATTGACCGCTTGCACGTTCTTGAATTGCGCACTGAAAAGGTCAGACTGTTTTGAAGTCTATCAGCTATCTGATCTGAAGAAGCATTAAAACCAAGATATAGCTATGACTGAGAGTTCTAACATAGGTTCACTGGTCGTGAAATGTTAAACAGTTTTCCAGTGTCTAAATATTTTATATCAATACTAAACAGAAGATCTAATGCTCTAATCAATCCTAACAAAAATTAACATATACTTCTCACTTATGAGAAAAATCACCGGACTCAGATCTTTGTCTCTGTTCAGGAGGCTGTGTCTCCCCAGCGGGGGGAGCGGGGCGGGGGGGCGGGGGGTTGGGTGGTGGGAATCCCGTTATGTGCATGGAGCTTAATAATTACGAGGGCAACTTACCTCTAGCTAAATTGCTGCTGGCCGACGACGCTATCGCAGCTGCTTGTGCTAAAATAATAATTATTATTATTATTATTATAAGTCTTTATTCATCAAAAAAATACATATCTTTCGTTACAAGTAAGTGTAAGAAATTTTAAAAAGGTAAAAAATGAGAATTAAAAAATCTAGTATATTGCATAGCTAATTCATATTAAAAACTCAACGATTAATAACTAGAGCTTTTGAAACGCATAGTGTTAATCTTAGGTCTAAAACAAGTCTCTTTCCTAAGATTGTAACTGGACGGTTTAACACGTGGCATACTAGATAAAAGTGGATGTCCTTTAGCATTAGAAACTTTTCTGAAAATTTTACGGTCTTGCCTCTCTAAGAAATCATAAACACTTACAGGCTGAGACGTATATTTCCTTTTAAAACAGCGGTCTAAGAAGCATTGTACAGGTATGTAAGATCGGACTTGGACGCGGAGTAGACAGTGCGTAATTAATAATATTACATGATATTAGGTACAAACTATTGTATTAAAGAGAAATGAAATATTTCGTAATTATATATTGAGACAGTAGACATTCGTTTGGTCCCTCTGAGTACAAAAATGGTCCTAAAACAGGTTATAAGGGGGAGAAAAAAGTAGAATCAGCAAAAACCGCCGCCCGCGACCGATCGTGAGGATATACCCAAAGAAGAGTCTAGAACGGTAACAATACCTTTTCGCCATTCGAATTCTTCCTCTTAGTTTTTTCCGTCTTCAAACTCCTCCACTTCCCGAAGTAAATCAGTTTTCTCCTGTCGGGTCAAAATCTCCTTCAGGACTTCAAGATGATCGATCCCTAAAGAGTCACTGTTTTCCAGCTCCTGAAACAGTGATCTAACATCTTGTATGCTGCTATGCTTTTCTTCCGGTATCCGATCATTGCAAATGGCGACAAGCTGTTCGAGACAATCGAGCTCGTCTAGAACATGAATAATTCTCNCGGTTCAACACGAGGCATAATAGATAAAAGTGGATGTCCTTTAGCATTAGAAACTTTTCTGAAAATTTTACGGTCTTGCCTCTTGCCTAAACACTTACAGGCTTAGACGTATATTTCCTTTTAAAACAGCGGTCTAAGAAACATTGTACAGGTATGTAAGATCGGACTTGGACGCGGCGTAGACAGTGCGTAATTAATAATATTACATGATATTAGGTAGAACTATTGTATTAAAGAGAAATGAAATATTTCGTAATTATATATTGAGACAGTAGACATTCGTTTGGTCCCTCTGAGTTCAAAAAATGGTCCTAAAACAGGTTATAAGGGTGAGAAAAAAGTAGAATCAGCAAAAACCGCCGCGACGGATCGTTAGGATATACCCAAAGAAGAATCTAGAACGGTAACAATACCTTTTCGCCATTCAAATTCTTCCTCTTGGTTTTTTCCGTCTTCAAATTCCTCCACTTCCCGAAGTAAATCAGTTTTCTCCTGTCGGGTCAAAATCTCCTTAAGGACCTCAAGGTGATCGATCCCTAAAGAGTCATTGTTTTCCAGCTCCTGGAAAAGTGATCTAACATCTTGTATGCTGCTATGCTTTTCTTCCGGTATCCGATCATTGCAAATGGCGACAAGTTGTTCGAGGCAATCGAGCTCCTCTAGAACATGAATAATTCTCTCCAGCAAGCTGTTGTATTCCTTTCGTTTACTCTCGAACGATTTGACATTCCCAAAAAGTGACCATTCTTCAAGGCCTTTTAAAAGATCTTTTAAAATATTCAATTTATCTGCACTAAGAAAACCATTCTGCTCCAACTCTACAAACAACGGGAAGACATCTTGCATGTTTTCTTCATCGCGAGGCGCCACCTTCCCTCTGCACATAACAAGCAATTGTCTTCCTACATTCAACTCGTTCAGTCTCTGGCTTATTTTGAAAAGCAAATTATTGTATTCGATGGCAGACATTTTGAGGACCAGACGTACTTATTCAGGTCAACTTCTACCCAACCACGGCACGCGATGTGTCAATTTCTCTCCCTTTGTGACGCGTTAGAAAAGTGGACAAATCTATATGAAAGGTCACGCAAGGCGAAGTTTTGCAAATATAGAGTATATATATTGACTTACCATTTTTACAATACAAACTTATTATCATACATTACCATACCCCAAGACAAAGGATCGAAAATAAAACTTAAGACACGTACAACATTATACAAAGTAAATACCAGGCAAACTTTCGGCAATCGACATTATACAATATATGTTTGTGCCACAACTTGAATATTTTATAAAACTCTTCACTGGGGATGATTTTTCTCTCTTAATTTTGATAATAAAAAAAGATCTAAAATTAAACATGAACAGGATAGATTTTTCTCCATGAAGTGATATAAGAATCAGGTTATAGGCATGTCCAGGCATACTGGTCAAACTGAAAAGAGAGAATTAGCTGTGGAGGCAGGCTCCCTTTTTTCACCAGAATGGCCTTTACTTGCCGGGTTTTTATACTTTATGTATACTGATGGTTAACGCTCCGCCGATGCAGTGAAATTAAATGAGACTCACGTTTTATACATTTGGCTTAAAAAAATGCAGTTGTGATAATAAGATATATACATACTTCACTGGGTCTTGCTATAGTTAAGGTTCTCTTCATGTATAGTAATCTCTAAGTGAAATCAATTCTGGCAAAGAATATGAGATGGAAAACGGCACTCAACAAAGTTTTATACTGGGGTGCTCCGCCCGAAGTCCATCGCCTTGTTCTTTTAAATAGGGGTACCATTTTTGTCCACAGAAAAGGTACCCCTCATGACAGTCTATTGACAAATGGTACCCCTTTCAAGTACTGAACAGTGCTTCTCTGCCCCGTCATTTTAATATGAATAAATCAATAAACCAGGAAGTTTCATCGTCATTTTTACACCGAAATGATAGACATGTACTTTAACTTTTGTTTAACAAGTGAAATCCTTATCCTTTAATTTTCTCTGAAAAAAAGGCGATTAAAAAGGTACCCCTTTCGTGTGGATTCTCCCCTTATAGGCTGCCATTAAATGGAGTGATTCCCCCGACAGCTCCATGGTACATGCATAATGATCAATTCTAATAATTGAGAACGTTATCGAATTCAAGTACAGTCGAACCCCGCTTTACGGACACCCACGTAATACAGACACCTGGTTATTACGGACAGTTTTCCTTGTCCCTGGGGAAAGCCGTTACATCTCCTCTAAATTCAACCCGCTTAATACGTACGGACACCCCGTTAATAAGAACATGTTCTAAGGTCCGTATTAACGGGATTTGTCTGTGTACTGGCGTGACCTTAAACCAATATAGTCAAACCCCGTTAATACGGACACTGAGGGGACATTAGAAAGTGTCCTTATTAACATGGTATCCGTATTAAGCGGGTTGAATTTAGAGAAAATGAAAGGGCTGGGGATAAGAAAAACTTTCCGTATTAACGAACTGTCCGTAAAGCGGGGCTCGACTGTGCCACACCTGGTGTGATAATATCTTGAACACTTATAACGTCAATTAATGGCCTTTTTTTGTCAGTGTCTTCTTTCTCTTGGCACCGTCCACATCGCATTCTCCTTCGACATCAGTTCAGCGGTTCGTACTTTGCGTAACGCGAACGAAAAACAATGCCCCAACCCAGGCTAATTCATAGAGAATACTTAATGGAAAGTGCTGGTGTACGGTATTTACGCACGAGTTATTGACGTACCTGAAATCGAACGAGTGAGCGCAGGGAACGAGTAAGATTTCTGATACAAAAACAACGAGTGCGTAAATACCGTACAAAGAACTTTCCATGTGGTATTGTGTTTATTATATACATACTGAGACATTCATCATTTGGGGGGCCTTTTTATTCTAAATCGTTCAAAAGTGCTAAAATTTGCCGCTACACACTTACCGCAAAATGACAACGAAAACGAAGTATCAGCATTTTAGTAAAAACGTTTGTTAAAAACATAAATGACGGTGAGGATATGAGGTAATCCAAGAACTATAAGTAATCTTAACTGTTTGTTCTCAATGTACAATTGAAAATGAGTGAATTTAAGTAAAATGGCCGGTTTCAATATAAGCTTAAGCTTAAATGAAAGGCAAAGTAGCTCCGACAAAAAGCACAACAAAAGCTTACGTCTCGTTCTGTTTATCCCTTTCCGCTGTTGTTTCCCCTGCTCTCTACCGTTTTCTTTATGGACAGTGAAACAAACGAAACTATTCTACTCCATTTCCGAAATGTTTTTCACTTTTTTAGCGAGAAATACTCTTTGAGTACTAAAAAAACTTTTCTCGTTGAATGTTTGCGAAGCGGCGCTGCATGCTGCAATAAAAGGCGGGAATTTTGGCGCGAAACTCACACACCTCTGTGGCTTCTGATTGGACGTATCATTTTTCTCACACGTGAAAAAACATCGTTCGCGATTCTGATTGGACGTATCATTTTTTTCACGTGTGAAAACCATCGTTCGCTCCTCTGATTGGCTAGAACTAATTTGCGTACGAAAATTTACGACATAGCTTTTTGGTGAGTATTTCTCAGTATGT